ACATGCATAAAATTTAGTTAAACCGAGGCAGGAGTTTAAGACATCTATCGTACCCCATGTCAGGGAAGTTAATAACATTTTGTATACTTGAAAAAGTAGATATTAAGTGTTCTAACACACAAACTATAACTTGCGAGATAATGTGTATGTTAAATGGCTCAGTTTAGCTATTGCCCACATTTTCCATCTATGATTACATCTTGTAAATCCTAAATATATAAAATTTATACTTAGAAATTAGAAATACAAGTAAATAAATAATATATAAACAAAATTTTATGATAGTTACTTCCCATAAAGACTGGTAGAAGGGAAAAATGACAAGACATAAACGCTGGGTCAAGGACAAATTTCTTCTCAGCTGTCACACATCAAATCATATAATGATGATGACTTGTCACAATTCTCAATGCACAGAGCACAGGGCATCAGGCTGGAGGGTAAGAAGCTTAATTTTGTGGGAAATTGTGGGGGTGGGAACTGATACTCTATTCTTCTCTAGGCTGTGGTCTACCCCTTTACAAATCGTGAGGTCCTTAAGGGTCATCTGATCTGGGGGTGACGCTGAACGTAGTAATGAGGCGCCTTTTGTACATTGCTGAGGAAGCCATCAATAACCGACATCGACCCTTCTCCTCCTTGCTAAGCATCATAAAGATTTATGGCAGTAGATATTTTGTTGATTTTAACACATTTTTCTTTAACCCAGCCAAATGCCTAGGAGCAGACTTTGGACATAACCACTCTCAGACTCTGTTGGGTGCAAAATTACAGAGTTCATTGTCTCAGGATGATGTGGTCCCCAAAGACTTGTTGGGCCATGATGAAATCACAGAGGCCGGGGGAAAATAGTCCAAAATATGTTTTCCCAAAGTGCTTTTTCACCAGAATGCAGGGTGGCAGGTGCAGAGCCCCAGGGCACTGAGGTCCCCAGAGCTCCCGGATGGAAGTGAAGTGAAACAGTGAAAGGGAAGCAGAGTTGCTCAGGTCGCAGTGTCACTAAGGGTGCGTTTCAGTGCCCAGGCTCCCTTGGACATGCCTTTTTTATGCTTCTAGCTGTGCCCTTGTCTGCCATGCCAGTCTGGCATACATTTTGTGCAGCTTGAAGGCATACAGTCGGAGTGCGAGTCCTCTGTGCCCTCCACAGAAGAGTCTCCATGTAGACCTGGTGCAGCCCCATCTTCTCAGCTTAGGACACATATAGGGCTTTGCCGCTGTGTCGGGCAGGCCCTAACATGTCCGTTTCCTTGATCTGTCTCTTGCTACTTCTGCAGTTTTTACAGACAGCATGTATGATGACATTTGAGAGCTGTTTTCAGTACCTAAAGCCAAGTGTCTACAGAAATGGGGACCTGGTACTGGGTGGGATGTTTCCTCTTTATAACTTGAAAGTGGATGAAGCTATACTTAAACTATCTTTTCTGGGGAGGCCAACTCAAGGACTGACAGCTATTTGGTAAGTTCTTGGTTATATGTATATGTAAATATGTGTATAACCATGTAGGAGTATGTTATAGTTTGCATATGCAGCTTTGTGTGGGAGTAATCCCGTTTGAGAATAATAAAAATTAAGCACAGAAATGCATAATAATAAATTCAGCTTGCTGTGCCTTGTTATTCTTTTATTATCTTTCTATTCTTTACTCAATCTCTCTCCATTCATTTCCAGACAGAAGAGAAACCAATGTAGTTTTTACTCTCATTAACCAATATCATTAGCCAATATCATTAGCACTATTTACATATTCAGTCACTAGGGGGCTCAGAACGGGTGAGCACGTGGGAACCTCAGCCCCTCCTAGAGCCAAGACCCATGTAATGAGGCCCACATGCATCTGGAGACATGGCTGTGTGATGCGACGTCAGTGTTAGCATCGCGGGACTAACTCTGGGCATTTACTACTGACAAGGGCATGTCGGAAATGTACCTTGTAGAGGAGGTCATGAGTGTCTGAGACCCACCACCCTGTACAGATCATGTCCTACGAAAATATCAGTCATTCACTCCTCTCAGGCTTGAGACATTTGGGCTTGTGAGCTCGACAATCCCCCCCCACCACCAAAAAAAGAAAGAAAGGTGAGTAAGCCTATTTTTCACAGGTGAATAATGTCCTTCTCTCTGACCTGGATTTCTTCTTTTTAAAAAATTTGCCTGTGGGTGAATGCACAGGCAGAGCAAGACAGAGATACAGAGACAGAGGGAGATAAAACACTCACCAAGGGGTGTGGTCATGCCATAATCCCTTCTCCATTTCTGTATCTTCTTGGGATTTGAAGCATGAACACACATGTGCCTGGCATGTTGTTCAAGCTGCCAGGACTGATATTTCAACCACATTCTTGGCCATGTGGGATCCAGCTCCCTTAACCACCAAGCCACGGGGAGGATCCTCATCTTGATTTCTAACTTTTCCAGAAAAAAATCGCAAATATTGCATTAAATCTGGGCTTTATGCAATTCTCTGGCATGCATCTATAATAATTTAATTACTACAGTTATGCATACTGAGAGGTTTGCCAGCAGAGAGCCTGCTTTCACTGCATCCCCTTTTGGTTTTATTTATTTTTATTATTATTTTTTAAGAAACCATATTTATTTCTTCTTTGGTACAAGCAGATATATTACCTCAAAATCTCAAATAAATAATCTCATCAACAAAACATATAAATGCCAGAGTATTACATTTTCTTCTTTGCTCTCACTAGAAGAACTCAAAATATAAATAGATTTTTGGATACAGTACAAACAGTTCAACAAAAATTCACGCTGAAGATGAAAACCAACATGTGGCATAAGATATTAATTTGGGGTGACAAAGCATGCAACAGGCCCTTTGCTAAATTCTTGCTGACCAGCCTGCATGATGCAAGAGGCTGGCTCACAGAAACCGGAGGGCCAGTAGGTTCCGGGGGGTGGAGGGGGTAGGTACACCAGGAATTCCTGGCACCCCTGGGGGTTCTCACTCTCTGTCCTGCCCATTTCTTCCATAGCTGGCAGGCCCTGGGTCACCTGGAAGACCAGGTGGGTCACCTAGCTTCAGGCAAACCTTTCAGACCTCTTCCTGGAGAGTCACATTCCCCCCTTTTTCTTGTCACCTGTAGGTCCCCTCAAACCAAGAGGACCAGAGAAGCCTTTAATGCCTGGGAGGCCATGAGTTACCCTTTGCCCTGGGAATCATTCTCTCCGGGTGGTTCTGGGGGCCCAGGAGGATCAGACCTGCCAGGGAGGTCAGAAGTACCAGTGTCTGGATGCTTGAGACTAGCAGCCATCTAAGCAAAATGCTCTTGCAAGATTCTCATGCACACCTACTTAATGTGCTGATCTGTCAGTGCTCTACCTGGAGGACCCTGATACCAGGCAGGCCTGTGGCCCCCTGTTCTCCCTGCATGCCTCAGGGTACAGGCTGTCCTCTCTGTCCTTGCTCTCCAGGAAGCCCCCAACTTCCTAGGCCCTCAAGTCAGGCTCCCCAGAGTTACCCATAGACTCCTTTGGGCCTGCTTCCTCCTGCTTCACCTTCACCAGAGGCACCTCGTTCATGCTTTCGACCAGGTTCACCAACTATACCCTAATCACCTGTCTAGGAAGCCCAGAAGGTGAAGGCAAGCCAGGAAGACTGGGGCTACCATGAGAACCCATTTTACCTGGTAGGCCTGGGGATCCTACTGGCACTGTTTCTCCTCTACTACCAGGAAAGCCCCAATGTTCTTGAGGTCCCACCTCTCCTGGAGGCCCCTGTTGGCCAGGTTTGCCTGAATTCACCATGTCACCAGGCTTTCCTGGAGCACCTGTGTTACCCTTTGCACCAGGCATTCCAGGTACACGTGGTAACTCCTGGTTATCCTGCATCACTAGGAAACCCTTCTTTCCCTGGTTCATCCTGGATTCTGAGAATTTCACGTATCCCATCATCCCATCACGGCCATTCACACCTGGCAAGCTCTGAAGACATACAAGGAAACACACTGTCCCTTAGACATGGTCACATTCTTCTTCCCTTCATTATTTTCTTAAGTTTTATTACAAGTCAATAGTCACTTAGCTCTCCCCAGGTCAGAATACACCATGTCCTTAGACATGGTCACATTCTTCTTCCCTTCATTATTTTCTTAAGTTTTATTACAAGTCAATAGTCACTTGAAAAACGTGTTAGCTCTCCCCAGGTGGGAACACACCATGTCTCCTTTCCTTTTGTGGGTTTTAGCAGTGGAGCATATTTGTACAACATTCACTCTATTGATATGCCTGTGGCCTCAGAAAAGGTTTAGGCTATATGCATTTTTTTCCCAAGGGTGTTTCTATTCTTAGCAATTTAGCTTGGGATCGTTTAAAACTCATTTCCGCAGGTGTTATTGCACTAGAAAGAGGCAACAGTGATTCCTGATCTCTGTGTAGAATTTAAAGCTTTGTTCTGCATGAGGATCTCTGTTTGCTCGATATTTGTTGTTTCTAGTATTTCCTCTCTCTCTCTCTCTTCTCATTAGCCAAAATACATATACATGTTATGGCATGTGCTATTTCTTACTTGGTCACGTCACAGACGTGATTTTGATTTTCTCTACCTAGTGCTAGTGTGGCAGAAAGCGATTTTAAATGGCTAAAATTACCTCTGATCTCAGGTACTTTGTGTAGAAAGTAGGAACATGGTTTGCCCATGAGGTCGGAAAAAAGACACATCAGGTGCTATTTAAATGTTCCAGATCACAGGGAAAATAAATGTTTCCATCATGACTTCTGGACATGAGTAGAAACAAGATGACATTTGTGATACATTAAGTTATAGAAGAAAGAAAATAAATGTTTCCATCATGACTTCTGGACGTAAGTAGAAACAAGATGACATTTGCGATACATCAAGTTATAGAAGAAATCATGAAGATTAATGTAAGCATGTTAAATAGTGTTAATAATTGAGTATTGTGAATTTTTTAAAAATTTACTATTATTATTTATACATTCAATTGCTATACATCATTTAGATTGTAAAGAGACTTTACCCAGCATGATATACACCTCAGTCCAACCAGTTGAGTACATTATACACACCATCAACAGGTAATAAACCATATCTGCCACTTTCTCCTGCCTCTTCTGCAGATCATTGTCTCCCTTCTCTTCCATCTCTGTTAGCTTTGTCACTGTGAGTATTTTAAATTCTTTATCAGGCATTTCCATGCATTTCATTGTACTGTCTGAGGATGAAGAGGAATTATTAGTTTTTCTTGGAGGAGAGGTAGTTTCTTGCTTTCCCATATTTCATGTGACTCTGCAATGATTTCTAGTCATCTGATGGATGGTGCATTTCTTCCTAATTCTTGAAGTTCAATCTGGGTGTTCAGAAGTGAGCAGGAGGAGAAGATCTGAAATCTCTCTTCTGTTCTGTTTTTCACTCTTTGTGCATCAGAAACCAAGGAATATTCAGACTCTAATTGTATTCAGATGTTTGAATTTCATTCAGTTGGACCTGTCTAGACACTTAGTGCATAGAGGTCACTAGAAATGAATCTAGGGAGGGACCAGCAGTTAGCATAATGGCTATGTTGCTGGACTCTCACATAGTCGACTGTGGTTCAAGTCCTCGACCAGGCAGCTTAAACTCATGCCGGGCACTTGTGTGTTTGTGACCAAGATCCCAAGAGGAGAATGGAGGAGAAGGGATTGCGGTGTGGCCATCCTCCCTGGGGGGTGATTTCTCGCTTTCTGTCTCTGTGTCTCTCTCAGTCTTTCTGGCAAGTGCACGCCCAACTGAACCCCGCCCAGACAAAAAACCCCTCAAAAAAAAAAAAAAAAAGAAGAAGAAAAAGAAATAAATCTAGAGAGGCAAGCCTCAGCAGAAAAATCTTCATTTTTGGTCAAGGAAAGCAATATTTCACAGCTCAATTTTGGTATCCATCTCCCAGACTTTTTCAATCCATTCATCTGTTTGTGGACATTTGGATTGGTTCCATGTCTTAGCAATCATAAATAATACTGCAATAAATGTAGATGTGCAAGCACTTTTCTGGCTGAGTGTTCTCCTGATGTTTTTTTTTTTTTTTTGGATAGATACCCAGGAGTGGAATTGCTGTATCATATGGTAGTTCTATTTGTAGCTCTTTGAGGAAACTCCATATTGTTTTCCACAGTGGTTGGACCAATTTACATTCCCATCAACAATGTAGGAGAGACTTTCCCTTTTACCATATACCTGCCAGCATTCCTTTTTTTTTTTTTTTTTATCTTCTCCATTTTGACTGGAGTCAGGTCAGGTGGTATCTCATTGTGGTTTTGATCTGCATCTCTCTTATGATGAGAGATGTTGGCATTTTTTTCATATGCTTTTTCACTGTTTATATGGCTTCCTTAGAGAGTTGTTTATTCAGCTCATTTTCCAATCTTTTAGTTGGGTTAATCATTTTCTTTCAGGTATGCCACTCGATTTCCTTGTGTATTCTGGTTATCTAAGGCACAGTTTACAAAAATTTTCTCTCATTCCAAGGGGTGTTGATTCACACTACTGTGTCCTTTGCTATGCAGAAACTTCTTAATCTGATATAATCCCACTTGTCTATTTTAGGGATTATTGCCTCTGCTTTGGGGGTCTTTCTTAAGAAGTCTCTGCCTAACCCAATGTCTCCCAGAATTTCTCATGTTTTCACCGTAATTTTATAGTTTGAAATCTTATGGTTAGGTCTTTGAACCACTTTGAGTTGATTTTTGTTAATGGTGACAGATAGGGGTTCAGATTCATCTTTTGGTAGGTGGATACCCAGTTTTTCCAACACCATTTGCTAAATATGTTTTCCTTTTCCCACTGGATTGACTGGTGCCCTTTGTCGAAGGTCAGTTGGCAGTATGTTTTTGGGTTTATTTCTATGGTCTCTATTCCATTTGTTCTTATGTCTGTTTTTGTGCAAATATCATGTTGTTTTGATTATCATAAGTTTGTAATATATCTTGGGGTCAGAAAGTGACCATTCTTTTTGTGTAGGATTGCTTTGGCAGTATGGGGTCTTTTATGGTTCCAGATGAATTATTTTTTCATATATTTTTTAAATAATTACTTTTTAAATTTTACTTTATTTACTTATTTTAATTTGACCAGAGAGGGACAGAGAGAGAGAGAGAGAATGAGAAAGTAAACCACCAGGTCCAGGATTTGAACTGTGGTTGTCATGTGGGAGTCCAACACACTTAACCACCACGCCGCCTGCTGCCATCTTTAGATGGATTCTATAATTGTCTCTTCTAAATGCGTGAAGAATGTCTCTCGTAATTTTATAGGGATTGCATTAAATATATAGGTTAAATGTGTAGGATTTTTTTAGTTGTGGTAAATGAGATTCATTTTTTTTAGTTCTGCCTTTGTCTGCTTTTGTTTGTATATAGAAATGCTATAGATTTTTGTAAGTTAGTTTTGTATCCTGACACTTTACTATATGCATTTATTACTTTAATAAGCTTTGTCATAGATACTTTTGTGTCTTCTATGTCATCTGCATTGTCATCTGCAAACAGATATAATTTCAACTCTTCTCCCCCTATTGTAATGCCTTATATTTCATTCTCTTGTCTGCTTACATTGGCTAGGACTTCCAGTCCTATATTGAATAGTAGGGCAGCCTTGTCTTGTACCCGTTCCATATAATGATAGCTATAGGTTTTTCATTGATGGCTTTTATTATGTTGAGAAGCGATCCTTCTATGCCAAGTTTACTTTGTTTTAGTCATGAAGGAATGTTGTATTTTGTCAAATGGTTTTTCTGTATTGATTGAAATTATCATACGGTTTTTAACTTTCTTTCTGTTAATATGGTGTATTACATATATGGTTTTGCATATGTTGGACAACGCTTGCATCCCTGGAATAAAGCCTACCTGGCTGTGATGAATATTCTTTTTTTATATGCTGTTGGATGAGGTTTGAAAGTATCTTGTTCCGAATTTTTGCATCTATATTCATTAGAGATATAGGCCTGTGGTTTCCTTTTTTTTTGTTGTATTCTTACCCATTTTGGGAATAAGGGTGATGGACACTTCAAAGAATGAATTTGGAAGGGTTCCTTCTTTGTGGATCTCTGGAAATACTTTGAGTAGAATTCAGAAATGAAGTCATCAGGACTTAGATTTCTTTGTTAGGAGATTATTTATTACTGATTCAATCTCATTGCTTGTTACGGGTCTATTCAGGCTTTCTATGTCTCCCTGAGTCAATCTTGGTAGATTATATGTGTCCAGAAATTTGTCCATCTCACCCAGGTTTTTTGTTTGTTGGTGTATAGGTGCTCATAGCAACCTCTAATGATATTTTGTATTTTTATTATGTTGTAATATTGCCTGTTTCATTGCAAATTTTATTTATATGGTCCTTTCTCTCTTCTTCTTAATTAGTCTAGGTAATGGTGTGTCAATATATCAGAAATAAATAAAATAGAAAATAAATGAACTGTAAGAAAATAAAGGAAATCAAAAGCTAATTCTTTGAAAAGATAAAGAAGATTGAGTATTGTGAATTTTAATATTACTAAAATTTTTTGTAGTCTTCTCTTCCCAGGAAATATTAAATATTTGTTTACATCAATTTAATCAGTCCACATTCTATTTAAAAATCCTAAAGCTACTTTATGCTTCATAAATGTGTAGATCTCTTTTTCCCACCCACTCCCTACTTCCCACCATCCTCCCACATTGTCTCTGGTATCCACATTTGCTTTTCTTTTTTTTCTTCTTTCTTTCTTTTTTTTTTTTTTTTTTGGAAAAACCAGACCACTTTAATGTATTTGTAAAATTTAATAAGTAATTTTTTGATGACTGCAACATGTAAGACTGGCTATATTCAGAAACATCACAATCATGGTGGTTCTCCAGATTGGTGTATCATCTTAAAAAATCACAAGGAATTACTTGTATGCAACTGCTATCAAATCAATAAGACAGCATTTATGCATCCATCATTTTCAGCATTGTTGGCAACTTGCTCATATTTTCCCCAAACAGCCTTGCCTCCTTGTGTCATAAGGCCCAACTTGCTCATGTTCATCTCAATGACAGTACCTTTGGTGATAACACTCAAAGTTGTATATAATGGGGATGAAGGAGTCTTCTTTACACAAAGTACTGGCAGGCAAAAGGTGGCTTTCAGTTCAGTATGTGTTACATGGGCCTTCTTAAAATGTAAGCCCACTGACCCAATGAATCTTTCACATTTAGGTGTTTTTTTCTAGTAAAACCATCTCCAACAAAGCAGGCTTTTGTAACCAGCCTCTTCCATGCCTTCTTTCTCTTTCCTGTTTGAATAACTTTTAATATTTTTGTTTCTCCAGGGCTCGAACTTTGGGTAGAGGGACTTCCCATTTTTCTGCTTTCTCTTTCTAGTTTTGTTTAATCATATTAGAAAGTACTTAAGCCCAGGACTCTCCTCTGTCCAACAGATAGTCAGGTACTGCTCCTTGTGGAGTCTTTTTATCATTCTTTTGTTTGATGTTCCTCTTTTCATGCATCTTGATAGACTTTTTCATTTGTATTTTCTCAGCATGGTGTTTTTTTATTTAATTAATTAATTTTTTTTTTGAGAAGTTTTTGTTATAGGGCGCATGTGCTCACCAGAAGACCGAGAGAGACAGAGAGATAGAAAGCAAGAAATCACCCCCAGGGTGGATGGCCATGCCGCAATCCCTTCTCCTCTATTACCGTCTCAGGATCCTGGGCACACACACACGTGCTCCCGGTGTGAGTTTAAGCCACCGAGTCCAGGATTCGAACCATGCCTTAGCAATTGTGAGTAATATTGCAATAAACATGGATGTGTAAGCATTTTTTTCTTCTACTGAGTGTATTCCTATCCTTTGGGTAGACATCAAGTGGAATTCCTGGATCATGTGGCAGTTCTATTTGTAGATCCTTGAAGAACCTGCATATTGTTCTTCACCAACAATGTAGGAGAGTTTTCTTTTTACCATAGCCTTGCCAATACTTATCATCCTTTATTTTTTTAATCTTAGTCATTCTGTCTGGGGTTAGTAGTATCTCATTATGGTTTTGTCCTGCATCTTTCTTATGAGAAGGGATGTTGTGCATTTTTCTTATACTTTTTGGCTGTTTATATGTCTTCCTTGGAGAGTTGTCTGTGCAGCTCATTATCCCATCTTTTAATTGGATTGATTACTGTTTTTCTGTGGGTAAGCTGCTTTAGCTTCCTGTATATTTTGGTTATAAGCCACTTAGCTAAGGGAGAGTTTGCAAATATATTCCCTCATTCCAAGGATTGTCTTTTCACTCTAATTATTGTTTCTTTTATTGTGCAGCTATATATAATTTTTAAATGTATAAAAAATCATGAATGGGGGCCAGCAGCAGGTGATGTGGTTTTTAAAATCGTGAACTCCCACATGGTCGACCACAGTTTGAGTTCCAGACTTGATGGCTTGCTTTCACACTTTACCTCTCTCTCTCATTTTCTTTTTTTTTTTTTTCAGTGTAGCCTTTTATTATTTTTTTCTAGGTTCATCCACATTGCCTCAAATGGCAGCATTTTATCCTTTTTTAAATGGCTGAATAATATTCTGTTGTATATATTTATAACACATTTAAAAAATCTATTTATTAGTTTTTGAGCACTTTGGTTGATTTCATATTTTAGCTGTTGTGAATAGTGCTGCAGTCAGCAGAGGAGTACAATCTCTTCACTATTTTCTTTCTCTTAGGTCTATATTGACTAATGGGATTACTGAATCACAAAGTAGTTTTATTTTTAATTGCTTGAGGAAACTGCATATATATATATATCACAAAGTAGTTTTATTTTTAATTGCTTGAAGAAACAGAATATATATATATTTTTTTTTAACTTACTAATATTTTATTTAGGATTTTTGCATCTATGTTAAGGATTAATTATCTTTTAATTATCCTTTCTTGTGATACCTTTATCTGGCTTTGGTATCCAACTTTTTAATTATTATTTTTTTGTTTTTCCTTTTTTCTTCCTTTCTTCCTTTCTTTCTTCTTCCTTCCTTCCTTCCTTCCTTCCTTCCTTTCTTCCTTCCTTCCTTCCTTTCTTTCTTTCTTTCTTTCTTTCTTTCTTTCTTTCTTTCTTTCTTTCTTTCTTTCTTTCTTTCTTTCTTTCTCCTTCCTCCCTTCCTTCCTTCCTTCCTTCCTTCCTTCCTTCCTTCCTTCCTTCCTTCTTCTTTCTTCTTTCTTTTTCTTTCTTTCTCTCTCTCTTTCTTTCATACATTCAATCACTATGCGTCACTTAGCTTGTAAACTAGATTTACCCATCGTGATTTGTTAAATACCTACACTGAAATCTGACTCAACTCCATATCACTGCTGGCTAGCCATTATATCTGTCAGCAGGACCAACATGCCCCTCCTGTCTGCCACCTGTAGTCTTAAGACAAGTTTTCTTAGAAAAGGGAAAGACTTAGAACCTTGGAAACCAGATCTACCTTTGACAGCTTAAAAATGAATTACATTCAGGTTTTTCATTGTTGTTGTTTTTTTTAAGTTTTATATATATTTGTGTGTGTGTATATATGTATACATGCATACATTACACATATATATTTATTTATATATATTTATACCTATGTCTGACCCTCTGCCCTTTCCCACCCTCTTATCACACTATCTCTGGTGTCTATAGCTGTCCTCCATTCCTTTTCCCCCACATTTTATTGATCACACAATTTTTAAAATAATCTAACTACTGTCAGTAGCAAATTCACCTGGTAATTTCATGAAAAGTAGGTATGAATTGGTAAGGAAATTTGCTTAAAACTTAAAGTCTGGAAACAGGTTAGTATTCTGTTCAAATAGTAGATACATGAACCTATTGACAGCTTAAGACAGGACAAAAACTCTTAAAACCAAACAACAAAGCCTAGAAGAAAAGTAGCAGTATTTTAGTCAAAAGTCACAGAATGCTTTTTCACCAGTTCAGTCTCATGTACTTAATCTATCTTCTGTTGTGGTTCAATCTTCCTGATTGAATTCTGGGATATAATATTCAACTCCAAACTTGTCTCTACAATTAAGTTGGCCATTTTCTTAGTTTTTGAACTCTTATTTCTGTGTGCTTGCATTTAATTTTCCTGACATAGCACTCCCTTGAGAACTTTTTGGAGGTCTGCTCTGGTGCTGGTAAATTCTTTCAGGTTTTGTTTATCTGAGAATATTCTTTTCTTTTCTTCCCATATGAAGGATAATCTTGCTGGGTACAGTATTCTTGGTTGAAATTGCTCTTCCCTTAACACTTTAAATATATTTTCCCATTCTTTTCTTGGTCGCAGTGTTTCCGATGAGAGGTCTGCTGTTAGTCTGATGGGATATCCTTTGTAGGGAACTTGCCGTTTCTCTCTTGCCAATCTTGGTATCTTGTCTTTGTCTGTGGTTTTGGTCAATCTGGCTATAATGTGTCTTGGAGAAGATCTTCTTCAGTTGATTTTATTTGGGGTCCTTTGTACTTCTTGGGACTGGATCTTTGAGTGCCTTTCTAGGTTTGGAAAGTTTTCTTGCAGGATTTCATGGAATAGATTATCAATGCCCTTATGAGTCTCTTTGCCTTCTGGGATGCCAATTATCTAGATGTTTGGACGTTTGATGGTATCTAGTATTTCTATTTCTATTTCTATTCTCAAATTTTTGGGCAATTTTCTCAGTCTTCATGGTGAATTTTTCTAGGCCAGTGATTCTATCTTCTATATCTGAGATTCTATTTTCTGTATGATCTAGTCTGATTTTAATACTTTCAAGGGAGATTTTGACTTTCTTTATTATAGCCTTCATCTATAACAGGTCCATTTGATTCTTTTTTAAAGTGTGTAATTCCTCTTTTAGATCTTGCAAGAATTTCCTCACCTCCTGGAACTCATCAGCTCCTTTTTCCTTTCCCTTCTGCAGTTCATTGTCTCTCTTCCATCTCATTTATCTTTGCCATTATGAATGTTCTAAATTCTTTATCAGACATTTCCATGATTTCCATTGAACTGTCTGTGGATGAAGAGGAGTTATTCTTTTCCCTTAGAGGAGAGATATTTTCTTGCTTTCTCATATTTCTTGTGGCCCTGTGGTCATCTGATGGATGGTGTGGTTTTCCCAAACTTGAAGTTCAATGAGCATCAAGGAGCATGCAGACAAGGAAACAGAGAGAGAGAAAAACAACAGAAACAAAAGCAAACAAGAAACAGAGAAAAAGAGAATTAAAGAAAACTAAAAAAGAAACTAAAAAAATATTTTTTTATTTAAAAAACAAAAAATCAGAAAACTGTGCAGTGTGCAAATGTGCCATGTGAAATCACTAGTTTTCAGGAGCCATGAAGGTGTCTTCCTAAGGCCTGCTACTTTGCCTCTACTGGGTTGGGAGAAGGAGAGGGAATTATTAACAAGATAAAGGGAAAGGAGTGGCTGACAGCCAAGAAAATGCTTTACCTTAAAAAACTTTAGAAAGGAAAAAATTACAAAAACATGAGAAGACAGAGACAGAGGTTGAAAGAGACAGAGACACAGACAGAGGCAGAGATAGAGAGAAGGCTTGATGAAGCTCCTACCACTTGAGTCTGTGGACTAGAGGCTGAATTATCAGTAGAAAAATCTTCATTTCTTTTTTTCCTGAAATCACTCGTTCTCAGGTGCCATGAAGGTGTCCTCTCTTTCACTTTCTGTCTCTGGTGAGCACACATATCCTATAGCAAATTGAAAAAATAATTTTTATAATAAATCAAATTAGATAAATAATATTTAACAAAAATATTTTTAAATGGTGAATGTGTGCCTTCCTTATCTACATCCCTACAAAAAATTTTACTGTCTTCATACATTAATGATCTTCCCTTAAAATCAGCTCTGTTCAGATGAAAGCATTACTATTCAGCTAAATGAGATATCATCCCACACATAATACTCGCAAGACCTCTTATTGCTACTTGCACACTATTTGTTTAAACAGAGAAAATAATTCACCTGAAAGTTTTTCAGAACTTTGGAAACCTTATACACATCAGCTCCATATAGCAGGGGAGGAACATCTTATTTTAACAGTCGAATTCTAACCCTTTGTGTCTCTTGGCGTGGTTGAGTTTACCCTGAGTTATAGGACTTAACCATATTTCCTATTGCTGTTCCTTCTGTTTAGGTGGCAATGGAACAACTATCAATATTTATTGGCTTTCCTCTTTGCCATTGAGGAGATCAACAAGAGCCCCAATCTGCTTCCCAATCTTTCTCTGGGATATGATCTCTATAATGCAATTCCCAGTTACCAAAGGACCTTGGAGAGTGCTCTGTTTTTGCTCTCTGCAGGGAATCAGACCCTGCCCAACTACAACTGCCAGTCACAGAAACAATCTCTTGCCATCATTGCAGGAAATGTACCAACATTTTCAGCCCAAATTGGAACTCTTTTGGAGCTCTATAAAAACCCACAGGTAAGTGCGTTTTCAGTTCTGGAGAATGATATTTGGATCTATCTTAATGCAATTCTCTCACATCTGAGCAAAGAAAATATGAAAGCTGGCTTTATATATCCCTTCAGAATTATAAGCAAATCACAGGGAATTTTGAGTCAGGAAATTATTAGCAGTACAAGAATAAGAAAGAAAGAGAAAGAGCAGTGGAATCTGTGAGGCTCTACCCAGATTTCTGTCCATGGCCACTGTATCCAATATCTATTACTGAGAATATTGACTGCTGACAACTCAAAAATGTGTGCCTCCCGGAAAATGCTTGAAGCACAAAGATCTATCCCATCTCTCTCTTTTTTATAAATTTGTATTTATTTATTTTAATTTCTCCAGAGGGACAGAGTGAGAGAGAGTGAGAGGAATGGAAAATGAGAAAGCAAGCCATCAGATCCAGGACTCAAACTGTGGTTGACCATGTGGGAGTTCAGTGCCCTTAACCACCATGCCACATGCTGGCCCCAAGATCTATCCCATCTTAGAAGACCTTAACAGAGAGGCATTCAGAGGAGAATGACAATTATACGTAAAGGTATAAAGACCCTTGCAACTGGTTGTCATTTAGTATAAATGTGAAGGGACATTCCAGCTTTGAGGATCTCCCGATTTGGGTATGGCTCAGTTACCTCAGTTGTCATTTACCAGCTCCCTTGTCCACATGCGCACCCATGCAGACAGATGTCTTGAAAGAACTACTTACTCTCCACATTATAACTATCCACTACAGAGATTCTTTCCAAGGAAACTAACACAAGCAACATTCAAGAGACATTACTGGAAATACCAATAGCATTAGCTTAATAATTATGTTCTGGAAAAATAATTTAAAAAAGAGAGAGTAAGTGTTTGTATTCTAAAAGATAACATAGGTTATATTCTGGTAATAAGTCGAGTCAGCAGTACCAAAAGATCAGTAAAATAAAGATGATTTTTTTCTGAGTTTACATTCAACATTGGGTGCTAGGGAAGAGATCCTTTGGTCCACAAGTCACATGGGCCCAGGAGGACAGAATCACTAACTTTGTTGTAGCACTGTCTTAATAAAGCTTATACCTTTTGCAATTCCCTTGTAGACAATGAAGAATGTATTGAACATTACACTTTTTTCTGTCATGCTTTGGTCTGGGAGTGATACCATTGATCTGGATGAGTCATTTCCTATCCTAAAAGTAGAGGGACTGGGAAAAAACATTCTTCTAATGACCAGAATGAGAGAATTGTGTCTTCTCTACAGCTGAATGTCTATTCATCTAATATTCCATTCTGTTTGTCTTTTTCTTTTATTAGAGAGAGCTTTTTGCTATAGGTTGCATGTGCTCGTTAAAGAGACAGTGATACAGAAAGCAAAAAATCACCTCCCACGGAAGATGGCCATGCCCCAACCCCCTGTCCTCCATTATCCTCTCAGTACTTGAGGCACACACACACACACACACACACACACACACACACCTGGTGTGAGTTTTAAACAGCCTGGGCTGGGCTTTGAACCACAGTTGACTATGTGAGAATCCAGCAATGTAACCATTAAACCACCTGCCGGTCCCCCTTCTGTGTTTTTAGCAGTAAAGAATTATCTATCCTCGTTGATAATGGGATCAACAGATGGCATAATTGTTACATCACTGGGCTCCCACATAGTTGATCGTGGCGTGAGTCCTGGACCCAGCGACTTAAAATTCACATCTTGCACCTGTACATGGGTGCCCCCAAATCCTGACAGAATAGAGGAGAGGGAATTGTGCTGTGGCCATCCACCCTGGGGGGTGATTTATCACTTTCCGGCTCTCTGTCTCTCTGAGGAGTGCATGCACCCAATAACAAAAATCATTCTCTCAAAACAAAACAAAACAAAACAAAACCACAAAGAATTATCTATCCTCTGTTTAAAGAGGACAACATAATTCCACTAAAGACAGAATCAGGCTATTTGTTTGTTTTTATTCAGGTCACATATGGTCCTTTTGATCCCATCCTAAATGATAAAGACCAGTTTCCATCAGTTTATCAGATGGCCACCAAAGACAGCTCTTTGGCACACGGGATCATTGGGTTATTGCTGCATTTTGGCTGGACGTGGGTGGCACTCTATGTATCCAGTGATATGCATGGGGAGCAGTTCCTTCACGATCTAAACACAAAGATGACAGAAAAGGACATCTGCGTGGCCTTTGCAGAAAGACTCCCTCCCACAGTAGGTAGCTATACAGCACGTGATTTTACTTTTTTGACTAGGATCAGAATTTCATCTGCAAATGTGTATATAATACTTGGTGATGAAGGGAGTGTTTGGAGCCTGGGAATAGTAAAGGAATTCTATTTAATCTTGGGAAAGGTGTGGATCATGAGAAATCTCCATCCATATCAGTGGGACGGTATTTTGGCTACCATGTTTAACATGCCATACTTTTTCCATGGAAGCCTCTTATTTTCAAACCAGAAAAGGAAAATCTCTGGTTTCAAACAATTTCTAAAGACAGTCAACCCTTCCCAATATCCAGAAGACTTTTACTTAACTAAAGTCTGGATTTCATTTTTTAATTGCTCACTTGCTGGATCACTATGTGGGAAACTTCGAGAATGCCCACCAAATTCTTCTTTAGAGTTGATGCCATCTTATATGGACCTTATGACTGTGTCTGACTCCAGCTATTTTATCTATAATGCTGTGTATGTGGTGGCCCAAGTTCTTCATAAGATGCTTTTGCAGAAAATAGAAATGAGATCTCCAGGAGATGCAGACCAGCCTATTCTTCTTCCCTGGCAGGTAAACATCCTCCATAACTGGGACATGAATTGAGCACCTAATAACATTTGGAGGTATTTTATTTTGTTTTGTTTTATTGCTAGAGACTGTGTGCACTCACTGGAGCAAAAGAGAGAGAGAGAGAAAGAGAGAGAGAGAGAGAGAGAGAAAGCACCCCCCATGGGGGGTGGTCATGCCACAATCCTTTGTCCTCCATTTCTATTTTCAGGATTTGGGGCACACATGTTCAGTGTGTTTCTCAAGCTGCCAGGTCTGGGACTTGTTCTACACAGTTGGTCATGTGGGATCAAGCTGCCTTAACCAGCACACCATCAAATGAAACTGGAGGTATTTTCTTAAGATACATCATGACTTATTTTCATCTCAAAATCACCAGGCAAAATATGTGTACTTATACACTAGGTATAAGTGTATATATATATATATATATAATTGTTATACTATTTAGAGAGTTTTGCCACTGGGGACTTAGGTTTTTAGTTATTTGGGCAGGCTCCATGGCCTGGTGGTTGGGGTAGCCAAATTCCACATGACCACCCACATAGTTTGAGTCCCAGACTCAGCACCTTGAGAAACACTCTGGACACTCATGCATGTGTGTCTAAAATCTCAACAGAATTAAGAAATGGAGGAGAAAGGATTGTGGCATGACCATTCTTCAGGCAGTTCCTCTATTCCTCTGTCTTTCTCTCTATCTCTCTGCCTTTCTCTGGTTAAGTGCAGACACACTTATGGCAAGTTTTAAAATACTTTCTAATATATAGTGAAATCATGTAAAATATCCAAGAAAAGAGCCATGATGAAAAACATTGATAAAAAATTGGTCAAATGTATGTGAGTTTTCAAAAAATGTGTCCTATGTTGTATATTGACACAATGACTAGAACTGAACATATCTATACATTTCCTTTACAGCAATGTATACATTGTGGACCAAATGCTGCTATGTAATACTTATGGTGGGAACAAAATTGAGTTCTATATAATATCCTAAAATGGGTCATGGAAAGAATTTGCTTTCAAAATTAACTATGCTTACAATATATGTAGAAATCATGAGAAGAAGACCTGTGATCCCATTTTAAAATATGAAACCACTTATGATGTATATACACTCAGACTATCCCACCTCATTTATAAATGATTTTATAAACTAAATATATTTAAATCAATATATTATGTATAAGATATCTTCATGGGAAGGGGACAAAAATGAAAAGGGGTCAAATTTGTTGAGTAAAACAAGTAAATGTAATATACATTCGTGGAAAATTAACATCAGGAAATTTAGCTTTTATCATATAATTTCTTTTTTATTTCAAGAGAGTATGTTTTTAATTTATTTTTGATTTGCTCAACTATCCTGATATTCCATTCCTTTTTTATTTTATGTTAAATTATTTTTATTTTAATTTACATTTAATCATATGTATCTTTACAGTGTACATTTCTTTTACTAGCACCGATACCATGCATATCAGTCAAGACAAAGACATTACTATATACATTGCTATCAGCAAATAGCTTTTCATTTTTTCAATTAAATGTACTTTTCCCCTCCCCCTTTCCCCTCTCTTTATATTACCTACCCCTGTATTACTGCTATCATTACGATTCTGTTATCTACGGTTGCCTTCCCTGCTACTATACCTTCCAAATTTTCAGTTTCTGCTATAGAGCACATAAAATCAGTATATATATAGAGTGAGGACATACAAAGTTTGTCTTTCATAGTCTGGTTTTCTTCACTTAGTAGGTAAGTCTTCCGAATTCAACCACTTTGTATAAAGTGTCAGAGTTTCACTGTTTTTTTATGGTTGAGTAGAATTCCATGGAGTACACAAGCCACATGTTTTCATTTCAGTCATCTAGTTTTGGACATTTGGGTTGATTCCATGCCCTAGAGATTGTAAATAATGCTGCAATAAACATGGATGTGTACATATTTTTCTGACTGAGGGCTTTTCTATCTTTTGAGTAAATACTCAAGAGTAGAATTACTGGGTCCTATTAGTAGGTTTGATATGACCTATTTGTAGGTTTCTGAGAAATCTCCAGATCATTCTCCAAAATGGAGGTATTTATTTACATTCCCACCGATAGTGTGGGAGAGCTCCCTTTTCACCACAGCCTCCCCAGGTCTTATCATTATTAGTTTTTTACATTTAAGCCATTCTAACTGGGGTTGAGTAGTAACTCACTGTGATTTTGATTTGCATTTCCCTTATGATAAGAGATGTCAAGCATGTTTTCATATGCTTTTTGGCTGTTCATATGTCTTCTTTGGAGAATTGTCTGTTCAGCTCCTTTTCCCATCTTTTAATTGGATTTATTTTAATTTATTTATTTATTTGCATAAGCTGCTTGAATTCCCTATATATTCTGGTTATCAGTCTCCTCTCTGAGGTATAATTTGCAAATACATTCTCCCACTCTGAGAGTTATCTTCTCTATTTATTGTTTCTTTTGCTGTGCAGAACCTTCTCAGCCTGATATAGTCCCATTTGTCTATTTTTGGGATTACTGCCTATCCTTTAAAAGTCTTCTTTAAGAAGTCCTTGACTACTCCAAGGTCTTTGACAGTTTTTTTCCTGTGTTTTTCATCAGCATTTTTATTGCTTGACATTTTATCTTTAGATCCTCAATCCACTTTCAGTTAATTTTTGTTAGTAGTGAGAGATAAGGGTCTAGTTTTATTCTTCTGCAGGTGGATATCCAGTTCTTCCAGCAACATTTTCTGAAGAGATTTTCTTTTTCCTACTGGAGTGTCTTACGTTTTTTTTGTAAGAGATCAGTTGTCTGTATGTTTGGGAGTTTATTTGGGGGTTATCCATTCTATTCCATTAGTCTGTCTATTTTTTGTTTCAATATCATATTGTTTTAATTATCACAGCTTTGTAATATGTTTGGAAGTCGGGAAGTGAGATACCTTCTACTTTATTCTGCTTGCACAGTATTGCTTTGGTGATATGGGACCTTTGCACAGTATTCCTTTGGTGATATGGGACCTTTTATGCTTCTAGACAAATTTTATAATTTCTTTTTCTATTTCTGTGAGAAATATCTCTGGTAGTTTTATTGGGATTGCATTAAATTTGTAAATTAATTTAGGTAGCATTGACATCTTGGTTATATTAATTATTCTGATCCGAAATCATTGGATGTTTTTCCACTTTTTGTATCATTTTAATTTCTTTTTCTAGTATTTCGTAGTTTTCTGTGAGATCTTTGATGTCTTTGGTAAACTTTATTCCTAGATATCTTATTAGCTTTGTGACTATTGTAAGTGAGACTTCTTTTTTTCAATTCGGTCTCAGTTTGTCCATTGTTTGTTATAAAAATGCTGTAGATTTTAGTACATTGATTTTGTATCCTGCCACTTTACTGTATTCATTTATCGCTTCCAGTTTTGTTGTGGATTCTTTTGGATTTTCTATGTATAGCATCATACCATCTACAAAAGATATCATTTCACCTCTTCTTTTACTATTTGGATGTCTTTTATTTGACTCTCTTGTCATTATTTCATTGATTAAAACTTCCAGTACTATGTTAAGAAGGAGTGGAGAAAGTGGGAAGCCTTGTCTTATTCCAGTTTTTAGTGGAAAGCCTTTCAGCTTTTCTCCATTTAATATGAGGTTAGCTAAAGTTTTTTCATAGATGGCTTTTATTGTGTGAGGAATGACCCGTCTATGCCAATTTGGCTGAGAGTCTTAATCATGAAGGGTTGTTGTATATTATTGAATGCTTTTTCTGCATCAATTGATATGATCATATGATTTTTATCTTTCTTTTTAAATATTATTTTATTTAACTGTATTTATTTTAATTTGACCAGACAAGGACAGAGCAAGAGAGAGCTATGCCACCTGCCAGCCCCCCATTTGTTAATGTGATGTATTGTATTTATTGTTTTGCATATGTTGAACCATTCTTGTATCCCCGGTATAAATCCTATTTAGTCATGGTATATAATCTTTTTAATATGTTGTTTAATACAATTTGCTAATGTCTTGTTGAGAATTTTTGTATCCCTATTCATCAGGGATATGGACCTGAAGTTTTCTTTTCTTGTCATGTTTTTGTCTGGTTTTGGAGTTAAGATGATGGAGGCTTCATAGAATGAATTTGGGAGGTTTTTCCTTTCGAATATTTACAAGTTGTTTAAGGAGAAGTGGGGTTAGTTCTTCTTTAAAAGTTTTGTAGAATTCAGAAGTAAAGTCATCAGGACCTGGGCTCTTCCTCGTTGGGAGACTATTACCGATTCAATCTCCTGGCTTGTTATGGGTCTGTTCAGACTTTCTATTTCTCCCTGGTTCAATCCTAGTAAGTTATATGTGTCCAGAAATGTATGTACCTTTTCTTTCTTTTCTTGTTCATTGTCATAGAGTCACTCATAGCTCTTTCTGACAATATTTTGTGTTTCTGTTATATCCGTTGAAATAACAACTCTTTCCTTACTGATTTGATTTTTCTGGTTCCTTTCTCTGTTCTTCAATAATCTAGCTAATGGTGTGTCAATTTTGTTTTTCTTCTCAAAGAACCAGCTTTAGTTTAATCTATTTTCTATATAGATAGTTCTTTTATTCTCTATTTCATTTATTTATGCTTGAATCTTTATTATTCTTTTCTCCTGGATTTTTGGGTTTTTTTGTTGTTATTTTTCCAGTTCCTGTGTTGTGTTATTAGGTGTTTATTTGCTGTCTTTCTGTTTTTTTTTTTTTTTTTTCTTGTGGGCATTAATTGCTATGAGAGTCCCTCTTAAATCTGATTTTGCAGGAACCAGCAGTTAGCGTAATGGCTATGTCACTGGACTCCCACGTAGTCGATCACGGTTCGCATCCCGGACCCGGTGGCTTAAAACTCATGCTGGGCGCATGTGCATGTGTGCCCAAGATCTCGAGAAGAGAATGGAGGAGAAAGGATTGTGGCGTGACCATCCCCCCTGGGGGGTGATTTCTCGCTTTCTGTCTCTATGTCTCTCTCTGTCTGTCTGGCGA